CATCGTGGGTGACTCTGCGCGCCTGGCCGCAGAGGTGCAGGACCGCTATGGCGAGATGGATGTCATGATCAAGTGCCTCGACGCGGCGGTGACCAATCTCGAGATTAGTGTCAAGCAGATCGACCCGAAGTACACGGAGCTCAAGAAGTGGGTGGAGCCGTCGATGGGCGAGTTCGAGCAGCTGGCGGAGAGCTGGGAGCGGTGTCTGGAGGTTGCGCGCAGCGTGCCGATCTCAGCGGCAATGGTGCGCTTCATGACCTCGCGTGACCTTAAGAAGAAGCAGGCCACGCTCGAGGACCTGATCGATCTCGACACGGCAAGGAAGTCGGGCAAGCTGGCGCCGACGTTGCTGAAGAAGTTCAGCGCCAAGGCGGCAGACCTCGACAAGACGGCCGACAAGATGTACGCCGGGGTGGAGCGGCTCTTTGGGGAGTTTGACAACCTTGTCGGCCGGTCTTCCTTGGCTCGCAGCGGGGAGGCGGCGCAACTGCTCCAGGATATCGAGGCTGTGGCTAAGAAGATAGAAACGGACTACAGCACGATGCTGGAGTACGCCGACACCCAGGCGAATGTCCTGCAGGCCTCGCGTACGGCGGAGAACCACACGTCGCGTTTGATTCCGAGCCTGAAGAAGCGCGCTGCAGAGATGGCTGACATGCTGCACTACGCCACAGAGGCGCGTAACACCATCGCAGCGGATTCGATCGATTTTATGCGAAACATTACTGAGATTACATCCATGCATAGCAGCGTCAAGAATCAGATTACAGTTCTGAACCAGGCTGAGGACGTTATGACGACGTTTGACTACCTGAGGCTCATCAACCAGCTGCCCTACATGTATGCCTCCTTCGCTTCGGAGGCGATCCGCCGCCGGGAGTGGTCCGACAAGATCAAGACGGACTCATCGACTCTGGCCAACGAAATGGCTCTGTTTCAGGACGAGGAATCGAAGAGGCGAAGAAAGTGGCACAAGATGGTGGGTAGCATGTATGGCCGCGACAACTTGGAAGCCAACATTCTTGGTCTGGAGGTCAACTTGCTAGGAGAGGAGGAGCCTTGGCCGAGCATGGTGAAGCGCGACCTCGAGGAATTCCTGGAACACCTCCAAAGACAGCAGGCTGAGGTGGCAATCATCGAGGACGTGACGAAGCTTGTCAATGAGCTGAGCAACCCCACGAAGCAGCAGTCAAAGAGGTTGAAGGCATTCAAGAACGGGAGTGTCCACGAGGCTGCCCTTGGGCGTAGTGGCCTAATGATTCGTGGAGACGACGACTTGAACCATACGCTTCGAGATGACAACACTAAACTCCAGAACAAGCTCAAGACTGCAGAAAGTCGTGTGCGCAGGTTAGAGGACTTGCTTCACAGGCAGAGCCAGGCCTCCTCTCGTCCTGGCATCGGTGGGCTGTTCGGTCACGAGAGGAACGATTCTACGAACTCCGTCAGGTCTGTACCGCCGGAAGACAGCCGTCGCGCAGCTAGCAACTCTGAGGCCCTTCTGCAGAAGATCCAGCAACTCGAGAATGAGCTCAATGCGGAGAAGGAGAAGGCAGCCGCCTTCGAGAAGGATCTCACTGCCCGGACGACGGAGCACAACGAAGTCTTGGGACGGGTGGACGAGGCAAAATCCCAGGTAGAGGCGGCTAGGGCTCAGATGGAGGAGGCCAACGCCACCAAGAAGGAGCTACTCGAGAACATGGAGGCGTTGCAGAAAGAGTTCGTCATAGAGCGGAAATCGTTCGAGAACGAGATCAAGGGACTTAAGGCGCGCCTTGAGGAGACCGAGGACGACATCGAGAACTTTGGCGAGTCTAGGGAGAACGAGAAGGCCACCTACATCGAGCGGGTGCACGAAATGGAGGCCGAGATCGATCGCCTGCAAAAGGATCAGAAGGACGACTCCCTCAAGACCCAGGGCCAGGTTGACTTCCTCCGCAATGAGGCGCGTCTGCAAAGGGAGCAGAACGAGGCTCTCGAAAAGCAGCTTCAGACCGCAAACGACGAAGCCAAGAAGCTGACCAAGAGCCTGGGCTCTGCTCAAGAGACGGTCGACACGCAGCTCAAGGCTCTTCGCGACATTCATGATCAACTCTCGCCGAACGACGATACCACCGAAGACCTCAATGATCTGATCGAAGCACTCGTGTATAAGGCCACTGATGTTGCTGCCAAGTTGAAGACCCTGGACAACGACAAGTCAATTCTGAAGGCCGACCTCGAACAGGCCGAAGAGCATGTCAAGAGTCTTAAGACGGAGATCGCCGAGACTAAGGAGAAGCTTGCGGCCGAGGAAGAGACCTCAAGACATCTTAAGGAGAACCTGGATGGAGAAAAAGCCAGAGTGGCTGCCCTTGAGCAAGAGGCCGCCGAGAGCCGAGAGCAGCTTGACCAGCTGCGAGCCAAGATTGCCGACGGCGAGACGGGCTCAGAGAGTCTGCGGAAGAAGCTTGACGAGGAAGAAGAGCGCATCACCTCAATCAAGGAGGAGCTGGCTTCCAGACAGTCTCAGGTGGGCAGCCTGGAAGAGGAGTTGCGTCTCTACAAGGAGAAGCTACAGGCCTCCCAGGCTAAGCTTACGACCGTCACTGGCCACTTCGACACCAGGTCAGAGAAGACCAAGGACTTGACGCAGCGTCTGTACTCTCACAACGATCGCTTGTGTCGACTGCTGGAGCGACTCGGGTTCTCAGTCACCCGTCAAGAATCTACAATGACTATCCAGAAGGTCCCGAGATCCGAGAGAGGAACCATGAGCCAGATCCACAACGCCAACGACTCCTCCGACCCAAGCCAGTCTACGATACGCCGCTCTGGCATGCTCACCAGTCGCACCCTGGCCGATAGCACCGACCTGGACCTGTTGTACTGGATGAACGGCAGCGATGCCGATGTCGAGTCTGAGAAATACGAGGCCTTCATGACCAAGCTGGGTAGCTTCGACATGGACTTGTTCGCTGAGACGGTTTACAGACGTGTCAAGGATGTTGAGCACCTCGCTCGTAAGCTCCAGCGCGACGCGCGTGCCTATAGAGAGAAGGCACACACGCTGCAGAGGGATTCTCACGAGAAGATTGCGTTCAAGCACTTCAAGGAGGGCGATCTCGCTCTCTTCCTTCCTACTAGGAACCAGACAGCCGGCGCCTGGGCCGCTTTCAACGTCGGCTTCCCCCACTACTTCCTGCGCGAGACCGACGCCCACCGACTACGCTCTCGCGAGTGGCTCGTCGCTCGCATCACGCGTATCCAAGAGCGCGTCGTGGACCTCTCCAAGAGCCTGACGAGGCCGGCCGAGACCGACTCCGTCAACGGCGAAGATGACGACAACCCTTTCCAGCTGTCGGACGGCTTGAGGTGGTATCTCATCGACGCTCACGAAGACAAGCCGGGTGCGCCTGCGACGCCTGGTCTGGGCAAGTCGACAATAGCGACGAACAACGTTGAGGCCATGGCCGACATGCACACCCACGCACAGGCGAACGGCAAGGACAAGCACCGGATCAGCGTCAATAGCATTGAGGGTGTCAGCAAGGCGCTTAACAGAAGTCTGGAGAGTCGTCGGAGCAGCTCTAACTCGAAGAAGGCCATCCCCTTTGCTGTTGGCGCCGGAGGAGCTGCGTTGCTCAAGGGTAACGCGCTGGGCAGCGAGACCAACTCTCTCCGCGCCGTGGCGCCGGAGACACCCACGGGCACCAGCCCGCCGCAAGGGGGACTGGCAGGACCGTCGTCGAACGGACAAGACCAAGGGCAGGCTTCAGCCAGCTCGCCGCAGACCGAGGGCCCGTCCGAGGAGAGGTCCAGGTCGCCCGAGGTACGAAACATGATCGATTCTCTCGTTGGACCGTGAAAGTCGCAGCTCCCTCGCTGATACCCGTTCCGCTTTTTCCGCGGCGGTTAGAAAGCCAGATCCCCTCAGAGACTCCGTCGCCAGATGAGCAGGGAGAGTTCGAGCCCGACGAAGAGGAGCGTGGTCTGGGATTCGCTGTGGAGCGTTGACCTGAGCTTCGAGAGCGGCGGAGTAAGTCCGACGAAGCGGCGGTAGGCGACTCAACAAGACGCAACATCTTCGATTCATAGGAAGTCGCCTCGTTCTAGGGTTTCGTAGCTGGCGTCATCATGATGCTTCCTGGAGTTTTTTGGGTTTATATCATGTACTGGTACCTCTTTTCTTCCATGCATTCATACGACAGAGAGGAAAAAACAAACAAGGAAAGGGATTGGAATGGAGACATTGGGGGGTTCTTTATGTCTACTACTAGCTCTTTCTCTCTTTGCGTTCTGCTTTTGGTTTTACCCCCCGTTCATACCCGCGCTTTGCGAAAGACTGTCACGGAGTATGGGAGCACCGCCCCTTGGAGAATTTTGTTTTGGGCTGTGGGTTTTTTTTAGAAGCGGATGGTGAACAGCGGAGAGAAAGATTGTGCGGGCTTGTGGTTTGTTCTTTTTTCCCCTGGATCGGTTTGCATGGCGTGCCTGGGATAGAGGCGCCTTTTAGAGAAATATATCATTGGTTGCACTGTTATTTGATGTCATTTTCCTCTGAGTGTGATGTGATAACTCCGGTATAAAAACCCTACGTCTCGACAGCTTCCCATGTCAAGACCGCGCAGTTTGTGAATTTGCATTGAAGACAAAGTAGGCATAAACAAAGGCTACCTATAGTAATAGTACCTTGTTCTGATAGATAATGGACATCGGAGTTAGTTCTTCCCTCAACAAAGCCCATTTGAACATCGTTGAGTTTGACATAACAATGACAAAAGTATTCATTGTGTTGCTCTGATGAAGCTCTTTTACAAACTGCTCTGTACAAAGTGAACAATCTCTAAATAGTAAGTAGACAATGGCCAAAAAGATGTACTCTCATTCATCCGATCAAGACAGAAAACATAAAAGATGCAGGAAGACAACTATGTCCCATGATGAATTCTGCAACTCCACCCCGAGTAGCAACTTATCCAAACCTCCAGTACCGTTTCAAAAGTTTCAAGCATTCCAAAATGGCCAACGCCATCAACTTCGCAAACCCACCAGGGGCACGTTGGATAGAACGGCGGCTTCCCACGGTCACGGAGATTCTAGGATGCAAGCCCGACAACGGCGACGTCCAGCTGGCTTACAGAATTCTAGGTCTTCACTCAACAACAACCCGCCCGACTGGCTACCGCCCGAAGCCGAAATTGTTCACACACTGGTGCAATAGGGTTCTCAACCGCATATGGCGTGACCAACAGAATGTAAGCGAGATAGACATCATTCCGGGCGACGTCCCCCAGAAACGTGTCATCGAGGCAAACAAGCGCGTCCTTTCGGCCATACACACGATAGCTGGTATCCGACGCCCAGGTCACCCGCGTTGGTCACCCAACACAAAGGTCCGAATTCAGCCGTGGCGATCGATTAACCATATACTGACAAATTGGGACTTGCCACAAGACATCACCTCGGCTACTTGGTCACAAAGTGTTGAAGTTCCCCTGAGCGTGAACCAGTTTAACGCCCATTACGCGCGTGCAGACGTGGCACAGCTGGCGCGTGACCGGCCTAGGAAGGGAAAGACGTGGCTTCCCACAGCTTTCATGGTCTTGGATGCGAAGAAACGTGAGAACGAGGATATCTTTGACGACTTGGCTTGCTACGGCTTCGAGGCCAAGCCGCATTTCATGCATCCCCAGGACAAGCCTGCTGGCTCGAAGAATAATCTGGAGTACAAGTTTTGGGCAGGCCCCACGCCGAAAAACGAGAATAGCTTGTGGTATGCGCTGGCGTAAGTTGAATCTTTCCCTGATCTGTCGTTCGCAGAAAACAAATGAGACACCGATACTGACGATAAGAACCTCGCAGGTTGCTGGTCGAGCACAACCCCACGAAGGCAAAGGACATTAAGTGTCTTGCCGCAAAATGGTTTATTGACATGACGTATGAACATCCCAATATGGGCGCTCATCACGCTGTCCGCCGGGCAAAACGCTTTCGCATGTACAGCCAACTTCTCGCCGACTCGGCCAGATGCGCCGACCCAGACGACGAAGAGATTTGGGGCAAGATGAGCATGTTCCGAGCCCTCTGCAGCAACAGGCCAGATGCCGGAATGCCCAAAGAGGCCGGCTACCACGAGATGTTGCACATGTTGGCGGACTTCTTCCACACCGAGATCATCACGTTTACCCGGCCGAACCGCAAAAAGTTCAAGCTGAGAGATCACGATATCAAGGACATTGATACACAAACCGTTGACGCGGAGTTCGTATATGAGATGAGGGTGTATGGCGAAACACCTCAGGGGTCCGATCCCACCTTCGGGTTTCGAAAAAGGAAACAGATTCTTCTGGCCACGGATTCGTGCTTGAGATACTTTCAGCCGGTGATGCGTGTTGTACCAACGACGTACAAGGAGGACGAAATTGACGAGAGTGTTCTCCCGGTACATCTCGACACCACGGCGTTTGACAAATGGGAACGCCACTCGCCCATGCCCTGGTGGCCCGGGTTCCAGCGTAACGCAGACAACACGGGCTGGACGGGCGACTGGGACGACCCGCAGCTCCGGCCGGGGCTCCGCCTCTACCCAGCATCGTCGGTGTTTGATCCCCCGGTAATCTCGCACACGTTGTCGCCCTGGAGCCCTGCCATTGGTCTACAACTACTTCAAAGCCCATACGAAGTGATGAAGAACCTGAGTGGAGGACTATGGCCCCCATGGAAACCTTGGTTCGAGGGCGACGAGGACTGCGACTTGTGGAACATGATTCAGCCGGAGGGACTAAGGCTTTCGTGGAGACATCCAGAGGCTCCACAACAAAGGCCTGATCGACGTATAGCGCTAAGCGACAATCGAGCACGCATTGGGCCGAAGACCCCGAAGTACACGTCGAAGAGACGGCTCGAGTTGGTAGATGGCGTGAAGGAGGCATTTTTGGATAAGCCGAACATGGGTGAGTCTGAGATTGGTTGGATGAAGGTTGTCACCACAGAGGACGAGAGTCGGGAGCCGTACTGGCACAGGGCCAAGCGAAGGAGGACGTAATGAGTCTCCAAGGAATGGCGTTGGGACGGCCGGGCTTTTAGGAGAAATTGTTTCATACGGGGGTGCTTACGGTTTGCATAGGATGGCGTTCAAATAGTCCGGCTTACGTTCTACTGTTGATCTTCAGTGAACGAAAAATGGCTTATTCAAGTAACTAATTGTCGAGATTTACGCGATGAAGTATGTGTTTGTTTAACACAATCACTGTGGCTGAAAGAAAAGGGATGATTTTGCGTTCTGATATAACTAAGTTCCCCTCCGCGAGCACCTCTCAAATGTAAATATCGGCCAGACGAAAGTTCGCCCCGCCAGTGGACTCTACACACGGCAAAAGGTTTAGTGGCCGATACACCGTCGTACTCAAGGCCGAGACAACCTCAGAATGGACAAGGAGTGGGACCGCCTAGATATCTATGCCAATAAGCGATTCTCAAGCGGGATTTTCGACAGTTGACCGCGCGACACCGGACGCGTTATGTGCCACCAAAGGTCGTTCGAACGTATATAAGTTGGAGGACTTTTTCTCACCCGCAAACGCAAGAAGTCATTTCATATTTGGAGACCGTCAATGCCAAAGGACTGAATCAAATGGTATTCGCTCCGTTTGTACAACATTATCTGTTACACTATTGATTCCCAGAGAATGGATTAGACGCGATCGTCGTTCTGTCTGACCTCCGTCACCTCATCTTCGGATCCATCTTCAGGATCCGTGATGCCAGTCATCTTGGAGACGATTACGGCAGCAAAAAGGTCGCCAGACACGTTTGTTGCAGTCCTAAATCTGTCGATGAACCAGTCCACGGCTACAACTACTCCGTCTAGGGTTAAGGTTAGCAAAGTATCCGCAGAAACGAAGAGAATATGACATACACATGCCGCTAGGCGGGATACCGACACTCGAGGAGATCATGACGGTCAGGACGAGGGAAGAGCTAGGGATAGGGGTAGTGCCGATGGACGCCAGAGTCGAAAGCAAGAGAATGATGATGTAGTCTGCGGCATTGAGAACATGGCCTTGTGTCTGTGCGAGAAACACGACGACAATTGGGAAATAAATTGCCGTGCCGTCCATGTTGATCAGACACCCGAGGGGCACTGCAAATTTAGCAATGGTGTTGGGGACTTTGGCCTTTTCGCGGACGCATTTCATTGTCAATGGGAGTGTAGCGGCGGATGACGCAGTTCCCCAGGCGGTCAACCAAGCTGGAGAGCAGGAGAACCACAAGGTGTAGGGGTTCATGCGAGTAAAGGCAAAGAATATGAGGGGCAGAACCACGAATAGGTGGATGAACATCGAGCTAATGGAGCCGCCCATCAGGATGCCGAGGTTGACACCGATGTCATTGATATCGAGCTTGAACATATTCGGAAGAATAACTGGCTCACGTTAGTTTGGTAGGTTCGAAGCCGAGCTTTCAAGGAAGGATTCTACTGACGGAAGAATATGGCGATAGGGGCCAGAGAGATCAAAAATGAGATGACGACGAGGATAATGGCCTCGATCTCTCTGCAAGCCTTCATGAGAGATGATCTTCCATCGCGGTCATCGATGAGATATCCTACAACCACCGCAGATACCAGAACGGCAAGGAGGTGGTCGGAGGCGAGAGCATTGACCACGTTCGCCGGTATGAGGGAGTTGAAGAGTTCGGTCACGGTGGCTGGAATATCCTGCTCCTGACGTTCGTCGTATGTTTCCTGGTCCTTTTCGGACATCCCGTCAACGGCGATAGACTCTGCTGAAGCCACGGTCATCAAGCGAGCCCAGACCTGGGAGGTCATGATGATGGAGTGAACGATTGCGATGATGGTGGTCAGGACGTAGTAGCCGATTGTCCATTTCGCCAGCTTTGCGCCGCCGTGGCTGATCTCCTTTAGCTTTTGCACTGCGAGGATCATTGCCGTTACAATCATTGGCAGGACTGGCGTCGTGTTAGTTTCTGGCATGCCTACGACCAATCGATCTAAATTGAAAGGAAACCCTGGCCGTCAATTAAGGACGGACGTTGAACCAAACTTACCAACAGCCTTTAGAGCCCTCAGCCAGAGATTACCGGGGATGATGAGGATCGTGGTCGCAGCGTCGGGGATATCAGGGTGAGCGCTCTTGACGCCGAGACCGATGCCCACTGCAAGGGCAGCAGCGATGATGATCTGGATTGCAGAGCCAGGCTCGATGATCGGATGCCACCAAGGGTTCTTCTTCTCGACAGACTGCCCTGAGGCGACCGAGGTCTGTTGCTGCACCTGGTCCATGGAGGAGTTCTCCGGGACCGACTTGTTGGCCGCACCCATCTCTGTCTTCTCCATCCTGAATCGACTTGAGGAGCAGTGAATGAAGATGCTTATCGTCGGTGGTTGGCGGGTTCCTCAGGAGTCAGGACTTCAGAGACGAGCCGGTATAAGTTCGACACCGCACTGAGGGAAAGGACGAGGGAAAAAGGAACGCATTCCCAAGACCCTGATCGGCGGTCGAAGTGAGGATAAATACTCGAGAGACAGTCGGTACGTGGGGCAGACCAGCCCCAAGGGAGAGCAGGAGCAGGTGCAAGTGGGAAGTCTTGTCTATCAGCGTGGCGAGCTGGGACCGGGCTGGATGCGAGCGGTCAAAAGGACCAGATTTGGATACATGTTCGAGCAATTGTGGCCCCTCAGCAACGAGACCCGATGCTCGCGTGTGCGACCGATGGGTGGGCTAGGCTTTCTAGCGAACGAGAAGGTTGACAGGGCAGAATTCCACCGAGATAGGGTGGAGGGTGGCATATCTCTGCCGCCAAGGAAGGGAATCGTAGCTGAGAGAAGGCACAGCAATTGGCATCTTTCACGCGAAAGGAAGGTGTAAGAGGATCCATTCCATCCCCGCGTTACCCACCAGTCGCGTTCGATGCAGGGCCGGGCGATTTGGGGTGGTCTTGGACTCTTGGGTGATCCATGAGTCCGGATTGGGGAGTCGGGGATAGGTCTCGGCGAACATACGTGGGATGAACAAGACAAAGTGGAGAGACACAGGGCGAAATCTGACCGAGCCTGGCGTGTGATACGATAAGGTTCACCGGCGTGACCGGTTGGTGATAGAAGGCTGTAGATGCCACTCAAGACAGCAGAATCAAGAGACGCCGAATGCATTCCTCGTAAACTGACACTTTGAAAGAGAGGGGGCCGCTGGGGCGAAACCCAATGGATGACCAAGAGATAATGCCGTCGAAACTGACTGGCCGAATCTGCCTGTTGCGTTGGGGTGTTTGCCTGGGTATTGGCCTTGGCCTGATTGTCTACTTGGCGGTGACGACAGGGGCTTTTATCGCGACCTTCCGCCCCGTTAACCGTTGACGGACCTTGTCCGCCGTCTTCAGCGAGATGCACGAGGCCTGTGTTGGTTAAGCGCGCCGGGGGCGAAGAGCCTCATCTACCGCATCGCAACGTTGCAGCTTCGACAGGCCATCGCAGTTCACCGGTTCTTTGAAGGCAGCGCTCTAATGATCGATGTTCTAGAAAACATCTCCTGCAACAGGCTTCAATCGGTTCCCGATCTGGGGTAAAGAAGAGGGTTCGTTTCCACCAAAAAAAAAAAACCCAGCAGGCCACGCCAAGCATGTATCCTTCTCCTCAGCGTCTCCCGATGCTGACAGGTGATAATGACTACTGGGTAACAAGCGAACGAGAAGCGTCCCTCGGGTTGCTGACCTGGTTTTGACTGAGAAGGATTATCATCCAAGAATCACCAAGGCTCGTTACCAAGAAGACCAAGAAGATGTGCACATTTGGCAGCGTAAGACATGACTCTAGGACAACGTTGGCGCGAGGAAGACGTCCGCCCATTGGCCCGCCATGGCGGATGCCGTGCCGCGCCGAGAATTGCCGAGAGGCTCGGCGGGAACTGAGAGGACGAGGGTCGGGGGAGGGCTCCGAAATTTGGACATGGGGGTGGGGGAGGAGGAAGAAAATTCAGTGGTAAAGCCTTGGCCGTGGTCCTTCGGAGCTCCTGACTTTTTACCCACCTCCGCTCGCTTCCTCTGCCTCTCCGCTAGCAGCCAGCGGTAGCCGTAGCAAAGCGGCCTGTCTGCTCACGTTATTACGGTGTGGGATGCGCCCTTCTGCTGGCCGCAGGGCGTCGTTGATGTTCGCCACTGTCCGGTGCCGGTCGGGAGATGCCAACGACCCTGGTCAGATGTTTGTTACTTACGTACAGTGTAACGGCATGCAGGGAGCTCAAGCGAGCACCAAGAAATGTCAGAGGACCAGCGACACAGCGATGCTGGCTGAGATCGGCTGGGCGCAGAATGTCTGGCCACTGACATTCGAGTCGTTGAGCTTGTCATCCAGTGGTCTGGTAACTTATGCGGACAAGAACTCTTGCATTCTTGTTGAAGGATGCTCTCCAGATTGATGTTCCTGGTCCTTAGATACTAATCTGCAGTCCAGCAGCTGTCTGCAGACTATTTACGACCTCATATCGGATGCAACTCACCCGTGGGGGTCCAGCCCACTCCACAAGTTCCGTGAGCATCAGGGAATGGCTCTGCTTTGAGATCAATGGCTCGTGACTCCGCACCGAAAGAAGGGGTTGTTTACCGAGTTGCGAAATTTACAAAAGCGGTGAATCACCCATGGAGTCTCACCATGGGCTTGTCAAGGGACCATAAATCACCTCTACGACCTCGGCAGCATTTGTTGGTCAGTATATTCACACAGGAAGTATCACACGTTACTCTTGTGAGGAGCAGGAGACGTTGTACTCAATGGCAGGAGATCTCGGGGTTGAATGTGTATGAAGAAGAGCAGCAGTTGGCACTAGCTCTCTTCCTTCTTTTAGTTCAGGACTCGAGCGACCAAGAGTATTCGGAATCTCCTGGGCTGTCACTAGACATCTTCGTCAGAATGTTTCCGGTTAAGACGCTGTGTAGCGTTCCACATGTAAGGTTGCCAGCCACTGCTGAGCAAAAGTCGATGCATTCGGTCGTGGTTCAGGGGATAATATCTAGCAAACGAATGTGAATAACTCTATGTGGACCATCTACATTCTATGTGTCCGACAATATCTCTATCTTCCCGAGCGAGTGAGCGAATCTGAAGCAGAGCCTTCCAAATTTGTAACGCCACCTCCGGCTTTCTTAACCCGCCTGTTATCAGCCAAATATAAAACAAAACAAAGCCAGCGCAGCATCTATTCCCAGTAGTGTCACCAGTGATTTGTTAGCACGTCTAGCAAAAGGACCACCTGCAGGAATCAGCAAGCACTGGATCTATCTAGGCCATCTTCTTACAAAGCACACAAATATCAGGCACAATCTAACCTGAGATGCTCTGCAAGTCCAGCAAGCTGCTTCGCAACCCTTGGGCAGAGGCACTGAGCTTCTGTCGCCGAGCAATCTCCTTCTCGGGCTCGGTGCCGATCCTCACGAGCTCGTCGTCAGAAAGCTGGGAAACAGTGGCTGGCCAGAAGATTTCAGGCAAGGGCGACAAGATGTGTCTTTCCACAACCTGTCTGCATATGTTGTCGACAAAAGTCTTCATTGCGACCTTGAGATGCCGGTTAGAAGGAGCCACTACAAAGTGAGGAAGGGACCCACAAACCTTGTAGTACGCATTCAAGCCCGCGAGCGCCTCCTCGCAAGCTTGCTCGTCCATATCCACACAGATCTTCGGTTGCAGACAATCCAAGAACTTCTCCATCTGGGAAGCTTCTGTGATACTGTTCATCTTGCCAGACCAACCGTTGCTTAGGGTCAAAGTCAAAGCGCTCTGGAAAGCCGACTTTTGCGAGTCGCTGCGCGCCTGTTGTATGTTGTCCGTGTAGTAATGATTGTACGTGATAGGGTGCCGCTCCTCATCAGCCATAATCTTGTTGAGCTCCTCAAAAGCTTTCTCACGAGAGTCCTCAAGTTTCCGTTGGCAAATGGCGTCGATGTCCCTGCGGAGGTGTTCCTCGTGAAAGAGACGGGTGATGGCCTGCTGAACCCACTTGGAAACCCGGTCAAAGACGGTAGAGACATGCCGCTCGGCAAGGTCGCGCCACGGGCTGGATTGCTCATGAAACAGTTCGGCGAGAAGTACATGGTTGTAGTTCCCGGGCAGTTCGCGACCCTTGGTTTGGATGTAGGTCTGTGGAAATCAGCAAAAGCACAATTAGTTTGACAGACCAGGCAGATTGACTTACCGTGTGAATCCAATGAATCATTTCCTCCTTGGTGACAAAGATTTGCAGTCCGTCAGGTGTAGATGTTCCAGACTTCTTTGGGCGGGCTTCATCTGCTATCTGCCTCTTGTGGCCGTGGTCGCGAATCTCCGCCGAAAAGTTACCATTCTCCTGGTGGACGATGGCGCGAAGACGGGTGCCGCTGTCTTTGGAGAAGAATTGTTGGTCGGTGCTGTGGTAGTTGCCAGCCAAGGCAGCCTCGGCGAGCTGGTAGTAGCGCATGCTGAGGTTGGTCATGAACGAACGGATGTCGTTGAGCGACCGTCTCTCGGGACCCATAGACTTCAGATCATCCTCTGTTGAACTGAGGACCCGTCTGATTTCGTCCCTGACCTTGGGAAGCTCTCTTTCAAGATGAGCATCCAAGAGGTCCTGGAGGTAAGACTTGAGGTTGTCAACACCGACCCGGCTCATGTCGAGGTTCTGAGTCTTCCAGGCACCGGAAGAGAAAAATTCCATCTCCCGTTTAGAGCGGGTAGCAGCATCTCCTCCAGCCTTCATCTCGACAGGGCTAGGGTTCTTCAGGAGGAAAAAGCCAAGCTTAAGCTTGATTGAATCCTTGTTCTTGGCGATGTTGGCTAGTTTCGCCTCAGTGCCGGCGTTGATGAGGTCAGGTTTGGTGATGATGCCGACGGTACGCTGACCATCCAAGTCATACTCGCGGGCGATCTTGATGATGCCCTGATTTGCGACGTCATTGCCAGCTTGAACGACAGCTAGGATGATTGTGCGGGTGCTTTGGAGGTAGCGTCGGACCATGCTGTGGACCGCTTCGACGTCTGCCTCCGACTGCTCCTCATTCGCAACGGAAATGAGACCAGGGAGATCAACTACGCTGAGTTGCAGTCCGATGGGCCCTGTGATCTCAATCCGGAGAGCATCTGAGGCAAAAGCAGAGTCGTCATTGGAGGAAGTAAACCCGCGGATTCCCATGAGCTTTGAGACCTCCTCGATGGCGGTTGGAAGATCTGACAGATCCTCCTTCATCTCACGCTGGTAGCCGCGGAGAATCTGAGAGGTCCCAGCGGGCCGGCCAGCATGAGGCCTGATGGTTGCTGTGCAGCGGAAAGCGCCAGTGGAATGACGAAGCGTAATCTCAGTGGGGAAGCGAGTG